AATATTGAAAAGAGTTCATTTTTTTGAATATATATAAAGATAAACAAAATGTGATACCACCAATGCAACAAAAGTGTTTTGGGAAGAAATTGATTGATGAACATTGACTACTTCTAGTCTATGTTTTAAGGAAACTATCCTTTTTCATGGATAATGAAATGATGAAAGGAAACAATGATGGGAGATTCAGTTAGTCATCTATACTGCTAATTTTGTCAAGCAATTTGTTTTACTATTGTTACACTATATATTTATATATTTCATTCACAATTTACATGAAAAGCAACCCATTTTACAAGATGGGTGTCAATATACTGGTGTATAACTTCTAACTTTACTTCAGAGGTCTTTTGTGATACTAAGCTGAAATTCAAACAGAATTAGATTTATTGCACTTCCTTTGTTAGAAAAGAAATGTTGTATCCCAAAAGATACCAGGGAAGATATAAATAAAAAGAACCTGATTTGACATGATTTGATCTTATCAAACAACTAAAACATACAGAGCTGGATGCTATTTTGTACTCAGATCCTATAAGCAGAAATATTTGAATAAACAATCATTAGGCACTCAGCACCAAGTAGAAGCATCAGTTGATCTGAAATGGACAACAATTAAAAGAATCAAATTGTCCTTTGGATAGTACAAAGGCAAACATCAAAGAGTAGTGGAACAGATTTTCAAAATATTTCATTATTATTGCCAGTATTCAAAATGTCAGTCTATGTATTATTCAATGCAAAAGCAGCTTCATTTCATTAAAACACATCTAAGGCAATTTACAATACAGTTGAAACCCATTTTTCTGTTGCATACAGTTTTATTTGCAATTCTTCATTTCAGTCATTTTTGTTTTAATAAAGGATTTTGCACTCACAACCTAGCCTCTTGGTCTCACTGAAATAAAAATAGTCTGTGTAGTGTCAAAGTCTGTTGTCATGGAAATTAAGGTGCTATAGCGACAGCATGACTTTGCTGAAGGATAAAGCAACTTTAAAAAGAAAAGAAGGGACATAGACTTGCGAATATGCAAACACAGAAGACAAAAGACCACATAAAACAAGAAAAAATGACATTGATTCTATCTATGTGATCATTTCTAACAACAGGGGGAAAGGATGGGAGAGCACAGGACAGAGGAAGGAACCATCGTACTCTGTTCCCTCCCATCCAGGTCCATTTTCTGCCATCCCATGTCCTTTACTCCATCAGGTCCATCTTACCACCACATTTTTCCACTTTGTGCTATTAGGAGTCAGGTTACACCCGACTCCTCCAAAGGCACTCTGGGCTCTGTTACTCCACATTGCCGAAATGTAGCCACACTGAGTCTCGCCGAAAGTTGTCCTTGATCATGTGATGGACTCCGTTTCAGCAGCATGGAGAAACAGAGAGAAGACGCAGAGAAGACTATGTCTAATAAAGTTGTATGTGGTTAGGGGCTAAATAAATTCAGGCACATGTCCCTCATGGATATGAGGTCATACCATATTCATTTAGAAGCGTCTGAATGATTCCTTTTTAAAATAAAAAATCAAAGTGATCTACAGTAAAAACAATACAATTAAACATACCAATAATGAAAGACCAAAAACAATATATCTTACTTTCTGCCATAAATGACATCCAAAAAATTCAACCTGATTACTGTCAATCTAATGTATACATTGTAAATATTGTATACCTATCTGGCACATGTACTAGCATATACATATGGACAAATAATTACACTGAACTGTTATATGCAGAAAAATTTTGATTTTCCACCCTCATCACATTGACTTTTAGTTCCTTCCTAGGATGCTTCTAGGATAGAGCCAGGAGAGAGCCCACCGGAGACCTTCACATGACGCATGACTACTTCTAATGGGGCTCTGTCCTAGAAGCGCCCAAGGATAGAGTCCTGAGAAAACAGGTGGTTACCCATGTTCTCATAGACTACAATGGGGGGAAGCCAGGTGGCAATGCTTTCCCCATGTGATGGGTAAGGCGGCGATGTGGGTGATGGGAATTCCAGCAATTTCCCCTGCTGTCATCCATGTTAGGGACCTCGATGTGATGAGGTCCTTAGAGATCAAAAGTGATCATAAAACTCAAAGTGGCAAGTAAAGAACATTCCAGTGGCACAGATATATTAACTCTGAAAAGTATTTCATACTATATAATGTTCGCCCTCAGCACTGGACTATACCCAACAATGTCAACAGAAAAACAATACTAATTTTAGCACAATTATCTGTGGTTACAAATTAGGATATTATCACTGATCCTAATGGAATTAAAAAGAATATACCTTCAGAACAGGCATTAAAGGTGTCTGAGATTAAAAGAAGGATACCCCAAAGCCTCTCTTATGAATGGCAGTAGTAGAAAGAACTCAGTATTAAATGGTAAAATGTCTAATGCAGGAATAAACGATCTCTGGCCTTTTGATTCGTATTGCACTTCAATCACCAACATTTTTCACAATTTTTCATGCTTTCGATGCTAATTCTAATCTAACAACATCTGCAAGGCTCTATGAGTCACAGTGTTTGGACAGTTCTCTTTCCCCCTGGTATGGATCCCTGTTAACTTTTCCATTGCATTCAGTCACTAGATGAGTAATGATAGCACTTTAGAAAACAGGCCCTAAGCAAATCAGCATATATTTGGTATGTTAATGCAAGTCTAAGCATGGTTGATAACAAACTGCACCAAGTAATTGATAGGTGTCTAACATTATGCAATGGAACCAAAATATGTGGATTAATATACTAGCACTTTTTAATAGCCGCTTTGAGTCCCCTTTGGGGAGATATAGTGGGGTAATAATAATAATAATAAGTTGGACAATATCAAGCATGGGCATGTGAAAAATGTGGTCAGCAAAGAATATATCCCAAGAGTCAGGAAGGTTTTGAAAAGCAAATTAAATGGTGGTAATACAATCAAGGCTATCAACACCTGGGCCATCCCTGTCATTAGATACACTGCTAGGATTGTGAACTGGGCGCAAGCAGAGCTGGATGATCTGGACAGAAAAACAAGAAAACTGATGAAAATCCACTACTTATTACACCCGCATACTGATGTTGACAGACTTTACCTGCTCAGAAAATCAAGAGGCTGAGGGCTTCTGCAAGTAAAACAAACGGTAGAAGAAGAGGAACATACACTGGCAGATTATGTGAAAGGCAGTCAAGAACCAACATTGAGGGAAGTCAATAGTAGTAAACTGCTTAAAGTGCAAAAAACAAAGAGTGAATACCATAAAAACACAATCCAGAGCAGAAGAGATAACTGGTGAAAGAAGGCTCTCCATGGACAGTTCCTGGGAAAATTGAGAGCCAAATTGACAAAGAAAAAACATGGCTGTGGCTCACAAATAGAACTTTGAAAAAGGAGACCGAGGGCCTGATTCTGACAGCCCAAGAACAAGCCATTAGAACCAATGCCATCAAACCCAGAAATGAAAAGTCAAGGACAGATCCCAAATGTAGACTCTGCAAGTAAGCAGATGAAACAATAGATCACATCCTCAGCTGCTGCAAGAAGATCGCACAGACAGACTACAAGCAGAGGCATAACACCATTGCTCAGATGATTCATTGGAACCTGTGCCACAAATACCATCTGCCTGCGACAAAGAACTGGTGGGATCACAAGCCGGAAAAGGTTACAGAAAATGAACACGTCAAGCTACTCTGGGACTTCCGGATTCAGACAGACAGAGTTTTGGAGCACAATACTCCTGACCTCACAATCGTGTTAAAAAACAAAGTATGGATTGTTGGTATTGCAATCCCAGGTGACAGCAGGATTGAAGAGAAACAACTGGAAAAGATGATACGCTATGAGGATTTAAAGATCGAACTGCAAAGACTCTGGCACAAACCAGTAAAAGTGGTCCAGTGGTGATCGGCACACTGGGTGCAGTGCCTAAAGACCTTGGCCTGCACTTAAACACAATCAGCGCTGACAAGATTACCATCTGCCAGTTGCAAAAGGCTACCTTACTGGGATCTGCACACATTATTCGCCGATACATCATACAGTCCTAGACACTTGGGAAGTGTCCAATGTGTGATCCAATACAACAGCCAGCAGAATGTCTGCTGTTGACTCATCTTGTTGTGTTTCAAATAATAATAATAATAATAATAATAATAATAATAATAATAATAATGGGTGACTATGGCAAAAGAAAACAACAGTGGTACCAATAGTGGTTGGTGAACTTGAAGGCATTCCAAGAAACCTTAAAATGAACTGGAAAAGCCTTAATTTGGACAGAATCAATCCAAATGCTGTAGAAGGCAGCACTTCTCAGAACTGCACATTTTGCAAAAATATCTCTAATATCCAAGATCCTTGGGAAGACCCCGATATTCAGAGATGAATCCCAGACACTTGGACCTAATATGCATGTGTGCTATGTTGTTATGTACAAATACATCTATATATCTATATATCTATATATATAATGCTTTTTAAATAGTAAGAAGGAATCTTAGTCTAAACAACAACACATCTCTTTTTGTTGAAAACAATAAGCAGCTGCCACATTTTCCTTATACAGTACGTGGTCACAGTGTGAATAGTAATTGTTTCTATCATCATGAATTAGAGGGCTTTCTGCTCAGTTTACTACTTAGAACCATGAAGTTAGAAGAGATCCCAAAGGACATTCAGTCCAACCCCTTGTCAAGAAGAACTCCCAACAGATAGCCATCCTGCCTTTGCTTTAAAAAAAACACCAGAGAAGTAGACTCCACCACAGGCTGAGGAGCATAGTCCACTGTTTAGCAGCTCTTGCCATTAGGAAGTTTTCCCAAATATTTAGGTTGAATCACTTTCCCTATCATATGAACCTAGAAATTAGTGTACTTTTTTTCAAGGTTCCAACTTGTCAACATTTTAAACTAATTTCAGCAGCAGAAGTAATAGTTAATTGTTGCAGGTTGACTTGATATTATTACTCCTGTTTACTGACAGAAATCCCAGGATTCTCTATTACCTGCTTCAGTATATTTTAATCCTACTTTCTCTTCTTCATCCCTTGGTTTCGGTGGTGGCCAGACAGCATGAAGTCTTCCTGGAGTTTTGTCATCCTGTTCTGAGGCAGCTGCATCAGCCTAATGAAACAAAACAAATGAGTATCCTTATACAATTACAAAAAAATGTTTGTAACAACTATTTTAAAATAAAATTTTCTGTTTGTATGCATTTGTTCTCCACTCTCCACATTTCCCCCTGAATATCCCATCTGATATTTGCTCAATTGCAAATTTGCTGACTGCCTTGTGACATATTAGTTATTTGAATAAGGTAGTATGTAGAGTTTTCTTTTAAGCTTTTTACAACACGTCTTACTTGGTCCAATTTGTGTTTGCTTGTTCATATGAGACAATCACAATGGTCTCTATGGTGTGAGGGTTTTTCTCCCACCAGAACAACTACCCACATGAATCAACCTGCCAGTCCTGAAGAATACAGTATTTTTATCAACACTAGATTAGAATGTTGAATAAAGAATGGGAAGATCCAAGTTAATAAAAATGATAACTGTGAATTTGGATCAAACATTACCTATCAAGGTTAACCTTGATATGATGTTTGTTTAGATAAAATGGAATGAGTTGAGTGGGGGGCACATGTATTCTGTCTTAAGCTTCTTGAAGAAAATACAAGGTGCAACTAATAAACTTATTTTAAAAGTACACATTATTCTTTACTATTTTGATTCATAGTGTTTCCCAGGCAACATAACCAAGGTATTTTTTTAATTTTAAAAAAGAAGCAAAAGTCCAGATTTCAAATCAGTCCAAATGTAGGCAAACTAATCATATTTTGACTTTCGTCTCATTTTAGTAGGAAACACATCAGCAATTTATTTCACTGGGGATATGCAATCCAAATTATGAATAACTAAAAATATAAAAATAACCTGTATTTCTACCATTCTGCACTTGCTGTTTTGTATATTACAGTTCTTAATGTGTATAATTCACTTAAACAATTTAGCAACCTAGTTATCAAAACAATTATTTCACTCTCAGTTAGATGAGGGTACTGTTGGCGTTTTCTGTTATCAACACATGCCATAATTGATTTAACTTGCACACATCAAGTGACCAGATAAAAATTCAGAAGTATATCTACACTCTATACATGGCATAAAAGAGAATTAATCAACCTACTGGTTTCGCATCAGTTGCTCCATCAACAGATTTTGATTTATTCCTTTCAAATACAGCCCTCAATGATTCTTTTTCATGTCTCATTTTACGTTTTATTGCTTCCAGCTCTAAGGGGTCAGCAGTTGTCTCTTTTTTCGGAGGGCGGGTGAACAAAGCTTTAAATGCATCCAGTGCAGACTCAGCTGGGCTTGGTTTTGTCTCTTCAGATGTGGCGGTGGTTTCCATTCTTTCAGAAGATTTGTTTTCTTGGTTATCTTCACTGCCTCCAGGTTCACTGAGAACTTCATCAGAATCTTTCTCCTCAGTTTTAGGTCCTAAGAGTTGAGACAGTTGCTCCAGAAAGGTAGGAGAAGACTTAGGTTCTGCCGGCTTTCTTTTAGTAATTACTTCAGGTGCAACATGGGCCTTCTTAACAGGCTGTTTCAATTTAAGCATAGCTAAATCACTGTCCTTCTGCTTGATTTCAGTAACAGTTTCTTCCAGATCAGCAGACAATCCTTTCTTGCGTACACGTAATCCACTAAAAAAGGCAGGAAGCTGAAAAGCCTTATCGTTTGAAGCTGGTTTTTGAATGGACTCAGCACTGGAATTGTTGATGAGAGATCCTGGTTCTTCTTCAGTCTCCTGAACATCTTTCCCTGCATCAGGTGGTGTAAGCATGTTATTAGTATCTTGTGTTATGTTTTTTGTATCTGAATCAATGGCCTGTGGTTTATCATCAATTTCTGTTGAAGGCAGTTCAGAACTCGGTTGATTTATCTCTGTTTTATCTTCGTTTAGAATGTTATTGTCTTTATGATCTTCTGTTTCCTTCTCTTCTTTATTTTGGTCACTGTCCTCTGAAGACACAGTACTATTTAGCACAGATTTGTTTGTTATGTTTTCATCAGTGTGTCGGCCTGAAGCCTCATTGTTTGATTCCATGTCACTTGTTGTATGAACCAAAGTACTCTGAACAATAAAGGATTCCTTGTCATCTTGTTTGCTGAATTCGGACAAAGGAGAGCATAGATATTCTGGATTCGAAAGAGATGGCTCCTCCTGATCTGTTTCTTGCTGTTTCAAGTCAGTCAATCCATAAACACCAGACTCCTGCCCAACTGGGCTAATGGTGGCATTTGTATTAATTTTGGAGGCAACAGGTACACCATCAGTCTTACAGTTATCTGTGTCATTTGATACACATTCCCCTAGTCCTAAGACAACTGGGGCCATGGCATCAGTCTCCAGGATGGTTGTCCTGCCAGAACCAGCTTCTGGTGTAGATTGAGCACCATTAGTGCTTTCAGTCCCTGACCATTCTGGAAGTATATCTGAATCACCATCTTCAGTGATATTGCTCTCTTTTTGCTGGTTGTCAGCATAGCTGCTGAAACCACCATTGATGTTTTCAATGTCATTTTGAAATTTTGTAAGAACTGCTTGCTCTTTTGACTTTCCTGACTCTAATTTGGCTGTAAATCCAAAAAGTGTTTTCATCGAAAATTTAGTGAAAAGGTTTTGGCCTAATTCCACCTCTGTTGTACTCCCTGATTCTGCAAGCAAGCTGCTTTCAGATTGATTTGCTTCCATGTTGGGCAAATCACGGTAAAATTTAGGTTTACTTGTATAGAAACTAGTTCATTTCTATATGATTATTCCAAGGCAATATCTATCATACTATCAATTAAATTAGATCACAACGTAACAAGGCATTTTCTCCAGATCATACACTACACTTTTTGAATGTGCACATGCTGAGATCCATGCTGCGGTCTGAAATGCAAATTTCTGCCACAGTTTACAAAGAAGATGTGGATATTTTGTATATTGTTGAATAGCATTACATTTTCTCAGCACTGCCACTGTGTTTACTCTTTACACAAAGAGCCATTTTTGTCCAGGCAAACCTGCTGCTAATGAATCAGCTGAAAGCACGATCAACCATTGCACAAATTCCTACTTTTCTGTCGTTTCCACAAAGTCTTTTACTTATACAAAGTAGTTAACAAAACAACAGGTTTTTTAGTACTGAACAGCTGGTACTTGCAGTTTGCTACTTCCGTATGCCGTCCCAGGAATCACAAAAATGTGTCAGAAGAAAAGTCCTGAAAGTTTCTCATAAGCTTCCCCACTGTGGTCAAATGCTCTTTTTAGCAACACCTTCAAAGGGGATAAGTATTAGAAAGCTGGAAAATCCTGGTAGAAGAGAAATGTTTCACATTCTTCAGCAAAAAACATGCCGTCTTTTAACTCCTGGCAAGTTCCAACTGTCGAAAATCCCTGTCTGACAGTGCCCTTGAAGCTGAATGAAAAAAATCAACTCTTCCGCTTTGCTGCAGTTTTCACCAGGAATGCAGATTTCAGCCAGTGAACAAAAAGCAACAGGACTGGTTTAACATTACTGTGTCTTAAACTCTGCTCAGCTATTTCTTTGGGCTATAAACAGGTACTTATCAGCCAATTTCACCACACCCACAGATTACAAGGTATATGGGAGGGCAAGGTAAATAGCCACAGCCCAGAATTTAGCCATTAACTCTGAAGAGAACAGGAGACATGAAAAACATACATATGCACTGTCTTATCTTCTGATAGAAAGTAGATTCTTCCTGTTGAATTGCTTTTTGCTTCATTTTATATTCTCTTTTATGAAAGAACAAGTTCAAGAAGGGCAACCCTGTTGCTCTTTCACAGCAAAATTGACCAAAAGTTAAGGAAGTGGTAGCATACAAAATCTTAGGATCAGGAAGAAATCCAAGTGTAAAGCAAAAAGGGATACCTAATTTTCCTGTACTTTTTGTAATGTCTTTCCACCAATAATGATTTGTGGAAAGGATAACAAATCTTTGATATTATGTCTTTGATAATGTACCTTTGCTATAATCTTAGAAAAGTTGGCCTATGCCTCCCACAAACACTTTCACTTCAGCCCTCTGAAAATCTGTTTCTGGTTGTCAGTGGGATCTTTGGGAATGGAGTGGACTATGGTGCATGGATATTCCACATTTTAAAATGGAGTTAGAAGGAAATTACACACACACACTATGCTATGTACACACAGAGAGACATTTTGTATGAACAGTGAAAGAATGGGAAATTCAAGCAAAGATGGCCACCAACTGTCTCTAGGAAGCTCAAAAGCACAATATTATGAAGATGCTAATCTTATATTGTTCTACATATCCATGAATCACACACACACACATTTTAATTCTGGCTATTATTTATCAATTAAATACATCACTGTGTGTAAACCTATGGTGTTTGGGTGAACTTACCCTCTTCTAAAGCATTCACATTAGGGATGATCTGAAATTTTGTCAACACTTTCCTTTTCAATTTGCTGCTGAGCTACAACAAGGCTTATTTTATTGATTTACTTTATTTTTATCCTGCCCAATATAGGGACTCAGGGCTGATACAGGCGATCCTGAGTTACAAACACACGACTTACAAATGATTTCTAGTTAAGAATGGGGGTGAGACAAGAGGAAGTGAGAGAAATCTGCCCCTCGGAAGGGAAATTCAAGAGTTATCATGGAGAAAAGGTGTCTCCACTGAAGCTTTATCACCATTCCTTGTTTCTACAACAATCCTTGTTTCCACAACAAGCCAATTTTTTTAAAAATCCAATCATCACAGGGACAAAAAGTGAAGTGAAATCTTCTAAATGAGTACAGACAGAAAAACAAACACCATAAGGGTGTTAACCCTTACCTATGCTATCCAAAGCATGCATATGCTCTCTGTCTCCCCCCCCCCCCCATATATGGCTGGAGTTACACTTAAAATGTACCTGTTCCGACTTACAAAAAAAAAAAAAACAGCTTAAGAACAAACCTACAGAAACTTCCTTATTTGTAACTTGAGGACTGCTTGTATATAGTTTGACAGGCATTAACCTGCAGGGTAGAGGAATTATTTATTCAGATTTTTAGTTTTAGTTACATTAGTTATCTTGGACTCACTCTTCCTTTAGGACTAACAGTTATGCTTTCTATTATTCTGTCAGCTATGACTGTTTTTAAAATGTTGTTCTTGTTTCAAGTCAACCATTTTAGGTGTCGCCCCCCCCCCCCCCCAAGTCATGTTGGTCCCCAAACACACTACCTATCTTCTCCTTGGCACTCTGTCTGACATTAGCTAGAGCACCGCCAGGCTGAAAGTGTGGCAGGTAATTGGTGTGTCATGCCTGGAAACCACCACAATACAGGGGAGGGAAAGTGTTTGGCATGGCTGGGCAGTAGGGACTTCCTGATCCCTCCAAGAATATGCTGCATATTAAGGTAGGAGTTGGACCAGTTCCTAAAAGAAACTAGTCATAACCATCTTGACTTCTCACAATTTCCCACACCTGCTTTATATAATAAAGAAAGTGGGATCTTTTTCTCTTTTAGCTCATTCAACCTCCTACAAGGAATTATGTGGGTGGACAAGGGAAAGAATTTGACCGATCAGAAATAAACACATGCACAGACTCAGTGTTTAATTGGACCTCTCTAATTAATTTTCTCAAAACCAGCAGAATACTTCCCACTGTTTTAAATTCCATGAAATTTCCATGGTTGGGCAATTATTATTAAAATCTGTTAGATACTAAGTGATGTCACAAACGTCTGCTTGAGGTTTTAGGAATACCCTTGCAGTCAGATGATGTAGGGCATATCTCTATGTTGCTGTACTTTAGAGCCCCCATACATCTAAACTCCAACAAATCCACATTGAATTGGGTCTAAATGTAATCATACTCATAGCAGTCTGACTTTAATCCAATTAATTTCAATAAACCTACTCTAAGAATGGCTAAAAGCTGTTTCAATATATTCACCAAAATCCAATTTCACACTAATACAACTGGATTAAACTCATTGTTCACTGCTTCCTTAACCTTACATTCCATGTTTGAATCGCTGGACAAAAGAGAAAATGTTATATATGTATGTGTGTGTGTGTGAATGTATATATATTATTCAGCAACAAACAAACACAAATAAAGAAAATCAGACAAATGCTCTTAGTCAGGTATAATTTATTATCTAGAAAAATAAATAATAAATATATTTATAAACAGATTTAATTACAATGCAATCTTATATTTTTAGAAATAAAAGTTATGGTATATTGGTCATTATTGTGGTGTTTTATTATACATAGGTGTTCCATAATCAAAGATCACAACTGCCAACGTTCTAAATATGGAGCTAAGTCAATCCATTACTGGTTTTGAGGAATAGTTTAAGGTCATTTCTATCTTTAAAGGGACATCTTGATGCTGGTTTGATAATAATATGAAAGTAATGGTACTAACAGAAAATTAATAAGAGTAATGAATAAAATAAATTAATGATAGTAACAGATAAAAATGTTGCTAAATGAAAAGCTGGGAAGACTTGTACGGATGGATATCCTGTATTCAACACTCTTAGGACCAGACATGTTTTGGATTTCTTTTTCAAAAAAGATTTTGAAATACTTTATTTACATATATGTGTTGCGTTCATACAGAGATATCTTTAAGATGAGACCCAAATCTAAATATAAAATTCTTTTGTCCTTGATATACCCCCACACACATATACAGTACATATACAGTACATATGCATCTGTGTGTGTGTGTGTGTGTATATATATATAGCCTAAAGTTAATTTTATAGGCTATTTTTAAATGTACAAAAACATGTTTGCATACACTGAACCTTCAAAAAGCAAATGTGTGACTATTTCAGCCACTCTTGGAGTATTTTGGGTTTCAGAATTCCTTTCAAGTGATACTCAACTGGTCACACCTCTAAACTAAACCAGTTTATTTCTGCAGGATGTGTCATGAACCCAGCTTCAGGTGTACGGAAGAAAGTAGGCTATAATGCATTAAATCTTATGCTGAAAGGAACAGGTTCATCTTAAAACTCCTCTTTGTCTCAGAAAATTCAGACACTGCTAATAAATTGGTTCAAAATCATTGTAGAGCTGACTTGCCAGCATCAAAATATTAAAAAGTTCACTGGAACCCAGGGAGTGATTTGGTGCCATTTTGGGCTATAGAATTGCCAAAGTGTATCAGATGGCATACATAAGCAATCCCTTGCATGGGAAGTTACTGCAAGTCCCAGGTAGAAGCATAATACTTTTTTATCTATAAATAATAAGAACTCATGCGTATGTATTGGAACCAATGTAGTGGTGCTACATTTCATAAAATAGTAATATTTCATAAAATACTAATATAAGTAAGCAGCAATTGAATAATATTTTAAACTACTCACCTCTAGATCTAGATGCAGGAAATCTCTGTCGGCTTTTTCAAGCTCACTGAAATAGATAGGTGGATCAGAATGTCCCAACCTGCAACCTAAAACCCAGGCAACACCATGTACATTAGCTACTTGTTCAGAGAAGCCATTCCTCAAAGGAGCTTCTGCTGGAATACCTGTATTATTTTAACAAGAGAGAACAAGAAATTTATCTCCAGTCATAAGTGGTGCAATATTTCAGTATACCACTTGGGGCTTCATAGTACGAAAACAGCAACTGTACAATGTTTTGCTTTCTCTCGTTTGCAAAAGTGCTCAATTGCTCTGTTGGATCTCATGTGGACAAAAAACTGTCCCTGCACCCAGTTTCAGCTAAAGCACATCTCAAGTTGATAACCCCTTTGCAAAGACATTACTGCTCTGCCCCAACTACATTATAATAATCACATCCTGATCACATTTTTCTTTGCAGCAGCTGAATTAAATCGCACCAACATGAAACAGAGAACTACCAAAATTGAATTTAGAAGACAAAGGCAAAGAGTGAAAAGGCCCTGTGTAGGTCAGAGATGATGCAGGGCATAAAATGCCTCTTTGTCTTTGGCAGATAGAAACCCATGTTGTCCCTTGAGAGAGACAGCAACACAATCCAGGAGCATTACGGGGCATCCTCAAGCACAGATAGTTGGTTTTCCCCATTCATTTACACTGAAAGAGCAAAGGCATGTCCCTGAGAACACTGTCAAACAAGAATGAGCTTTTCCCTTAATGTGTGAAATATTTCTTTATTTATCTACGATATTTCAACCCCACCTTTCTCCACTTCATGGGAGACTGAAGGTGGATTACATTTAGGCAGCTAAATAGAATTTGGTTCTTCCCCATTTATTTATGTATTTATATTGGAGTGACCTGCATCTTCCCCACATATTACCTTCCCCCCATATAAAAATTGTGGTGAAGGGAGATGCTTTACCAGTCTATAATAAGCCCAAGAGACCCTTTTCCTGCCAGGAGGTTACTAGAAGTTACTACAAAAAATTGGGAGGGCTGGCAAAATTACCTCAAAAAGAGAGTTTTCCTGTTTTGTAGCGAATTAATTTGGGACTTTCTAAAATATTGTCTGCACAGCCCCTCCTTTACTGTGATAGATACCACAATAAAGGTCATGTCTGGACGGGCCCTTAGTTAATTCCTCCCCTCCGAAAAAAGTCATGGAGGTGATGGGGCACAAAGGAGCGTACGCCTGGACATTTTGGGATAGCATATGTGGCATTGTCCAAACCTGATTTCACTTAAATATGGACCTCATCACACTAGAGAATGAATCCACTTTAAATCCAGTTGCTGCTTCCTGCAGAATTCTGGGGTTTGTAGTTTAGGGAGGAGCCTTTAACAGCCTCACTGAGTCCATTTACATTTAAATACTTAGTGCCAGAGAGGATGTTTTCAGTAGTGTTAAAATAAGCATGATGCTACAAATGGTTTTGAAATGGTAGAAAACAAAAGTAAAATCAAGGTCTATATGGAGGTTTTCTTTGGTTAGGACAGTGATGTGCTACCACTTAACTGGAGCAATGAAGGCCAAGAATACAACCACAGTAGGAATAATATGCTATTGGAAAAGAACTGTAACTCTGTAACTGTAACTCTAGAACTGACACATTTAAATGCTGAAATGTTGCAGTATATATACTCCAAAGAGCTCTTATAGTCTCCAGGATATCCAATCTGATCCCCGAAACCTCTGTGCATTGGTCTATGAAAGAACATGCCAATGATGCTTCATTAAATCTGAATTTGTGTAGAAGTAAGTCAGTATTTCCAGTCCGTAATGACAATAAAACAAAAAGTCATTTCAAAATAGACTGCCAGGGATAGAAGAGAGTTACTACTAGATGGAGAACAAATCCTTAGTCAACTTTGAAACTCAGAGGGTAGCACTAAATAAATTGCTGGTAGCGTTCACATGTCACTTAGGCTGAACATTATTGCTTAATAAGCCAGGAAGGGAACAAACAATATGCCAATATATACAATTTATTTGCTTCCATTATCTTCTTACATTTACATGAGTGGAAAAACTAACCAGGAAAGGGGGAGTTTAATGTGATATTTTAATCTGGTATTATGGTGACGTGAATACAAACAAGCTCAAATTTATAAATCAACAAAAAACCCAACCCTCTTTACTTCTGATTTGGGACTAATAATCCCCCATTGATTTTAGTGGAATCAGTCTGAACAGATATAGATTTAATATATGATGAGTTTCTAGACTATAGAGCCAAAACAATGTCTGTTTTAAATCACTCTTGTAACTAGTTTTAGGTGTGGTAGGTAAAATTCTTAGGGCAGAAGCAATAATTTCATAGAATAATAGAGTTGGAAGAGACTACATGGGCCATCTATTCCAACTCCCTGCTATGCGGGAAAAGTACCATCAAAGTATCCCTGACAGATGGCCATCCAGCCTCTGTCTAAAGGTCTCCAAGAAAGGAGCTTTCACCACAAATACCGAGGCAGAGATTTATTGGTTGATTGTTGTAGTTAAGAGCCCTGTAAAATTTAGTTACTTTTATAACTAAGATAGACCTCTGGCACAAAATTTGTTTCTGCTTTTACATTTTTGTCTGGGTATTTTTGTAAGGATTTTGAGTACATGAATGTGCACAACACATTTTCCCCAGATTGCCAATAACCATCAGGAAGCAAAGGATCACAGATTTACAGTGGCAGCATCTTGTTCAATTGCAAAAAAAACAACAAAAAAACAAACAAACAATTTAATCCTGACAGCACTGCAATAATAATAATGTAAGGCTATTGTGTTTCAACACAAAGTGGTGAATGTAACAGTTTTCCAAATGTTATCCCCTGTAACCATTCTTTGTCCTTTGATACAACACCATAGTGGTGGGTGCAAATTCTAAAGCATGTAAAGACCTGGAAATGTTCAGTTTTAAAGAGCAGCCAACACGAAATATAATAAAAAATGGAGACTACCATAAGACATATTACTAATACTCAAACATTTTCTGCATAATTAAGATTTCACTTAATCTATTTAGGCATTAAAATGTCTGAATGGCTCCATGTTTCCATTGCATGTATTTTTTTAAAGTTCAAAACCTAAATTAAACAATTTTTTGAAAATACGCACTATAAAAAGCTGAGATGTTCATCCAAAAAAGACTATTCACGTAGCTTTTGAACTGGTAGGTCTTTATAGTCTGTGGTTATTTTTAACTGCACTGCCACAAGCTGAGCAAGTCATGTGAACATCAACACTACACAGGCTAAATTAGTCTGAGATTTGATTTTGACATTCAGCTGTAACCACTGCTGTTGAAGGATTCATTCAGCACCCAACTGAATCAATACTTTGGCCAATGTTTGGTGAGGACTGAGAAAACCTGTGTCTGCGTTTGGTAGAAAGCCACTGCCCACAGTGCACTTCCTTTAGGCATCTGGTTGTCTACTGGGCAGGTATGGCTTTTCTTATGCTCCTGTACAAACAAAACAGGAAAGCAGAATGCAAGGGAATATAGAGCAAACATACAACCAGGTTAAGTACCTCCAAACTGTTCATGTTTTTTCACGCAAAGCAAACCATGTTTAAATGCAGATGCTGTAGAGTTGAACCTGGGTGTTGACAAAGACACAGAGGAATGTACTAGAAAGTTTCTTTAATACTCCACACAATAAATTCTAATCATCACTTTGGGAACAGAAGTGGGATTAAACTCAGAGCAAAATTAGAAAAATAATGATTAAATGGATTCTTATTTCCTAAAATGAAACAAGATCTGGTGCCCTCTGGAGTTTGAAACATGCAACAATCCCATGCAGATAATATAATTGCAATAAATGAAGTTTATCCATTCAAGCTACCATTTGAGGAATAGAAACGGAAAGTCTTCCATGACAGATGGAGGGCAGAAAAGAGCTTCTGTGGATTTCATTGATGGAATCACTGTGATGAGTAGGAGGACCGATTAATAAAATAGGCACAACTCAGTCATTAAATAATTCTGCTTGGACAAATGAATAGCACTTTCTTAAGCACAATGCATAAACATTATTATGAGCAAAGGGCAAGAGTCTGGAAGGGTGGAGTACTTGAAAATGACTTATTTCAAAGCAAGAGAGGAGGAATAATGATGCCTTCCATATTTTTCTGGGACTACAAATCCCAGAAGTCCTAACCAGGTATAGCCAATAATGCTTGAGAAACAGGCTGAACAACATCTGGAGAACTACATAATTCCCACTGTGTTTTAACATAAACACAAAATCAAGGTTCCTATTTTAATTAAGGGGACACGAAGATTAATCATCCAGTGCATCGCCACACAGAAAAAAAGTCTCATTCCATTCAGTGGCACTTACTTCTGAGTGTGCATGTGATGGTAGTTAGTTAACCTTTACTGAATCACGCTCCAAATGAATAGTAGACACTGTAATACATTATTTTGATAAATATGTCATTGTTTTCATTAAGAACTAGCCATTTGTCCTTTTAGCAAACCACAGTCATTTTATTTTGTTAAGAAACCGTAATGGCCCCACTCTGAACAGTACATTAGTGGTGGGGAGAATATGGTGGGTTTTTTCAAAACAGAACCAACAATGTCAACAAAAGAGCCCAAAGAAACTTATAGATCCATCTTGCTTTCACAAGTGAATGAGAAGATAAAAAAGATGACATGTTTTGATATTTCTCATAATAGATTACCATAAAATGATCAACCCAAGGTTGAGAAGAGACTCAATACATTTCCCCCCTTTGATAAGGTGCTGTATGAAGTACAGGGATGGGGAATCTTTGCTGCTCTTTATCTTTGGTACTACAACTCCCATGATCTTTAACCATTTCAGAGCTGAAATTTAAAAAAAAATCATAAGATCCAAAGTCTTGCTATCACTATTTTGGTTTTTTTAAAATGACTTTGAAAAGACTTTGCACTTTCAATCTAAGGCTGCAGTTCAGATGATTTAAGACATTGTTCCGAAAGTTCTCCGAATGTAATTCAGTGCAAGTAACAATGACTGACTTTTCTTTTCCAGGCACCGAACAGCAATCCCATTCTTTGATATGTTTGCATCCATGTGTGTATGTACAATACACACAATTCATGAGGAGATTGCTCATCAAACATTTACCACTCTGCTA